GATTGGGGGGGAGGGGGGAGGGTGGGAAGGGACGTGAAGGGTAAACAAAGGAGGAGGCTGCAATGCTTGGTAAGAAATGTACGCATTATCCTGCCCACGTAATTGTAACCCCTCTGTACAGTATGTTCACAAATTAAAAAAAAAAGAAAAAAATTCAACATAGGCTTCCATACATCCTGGATTACTGTGGACAATATGTAAGCACAGAAAGATCTATGTTAAACTCCAGTATTAAGGGAAACTTCAAAATCAGATGTGGAAGCTATGTGGATTCTGGAGCCACTAAAACTGCTAAAGCTCACCAAAACTAACACCAAATATGGCCTCAAATTAACCTTAAGGACATTTGTTGAGAGGGTAGTACATCTCATCGGGGTAGCAGCCATTAAGGATTTCCCTGTCACGTCTGGGGGGGAGTGTTGGGTGTTTTTATAGTGGTCTTATCTTCTTATCTTCATCCTTACCTACCCCCCCTCTGTCCTTCCTTCCTTCTCTTTCTCCCTCCCTTCATTTCCCTCCCTCCTAGAGAGGGATAGAGCCTATGGTTTTGGAGGAGAGGAGCATCAGTCTCAGGGGCGCTGGAGGGTCTCCAGAGGACGCGGTTAGAACCGACAGCAGGTGGAGAAGCCCTGCACAGTGCGTGTTTTCTCCACACGTGGGTCGGGGTGGGCTGCTGGCCTCCGAGCCAACAGCTCACGCCAAGGCAGGCCCCACGGCCAAGCCTCACATCTTCTCCCACCCCGAGTTCGAGGTCACACTCGGGGCTCCCCGAGAAGACCAGGGTGCGCTTACCCGGGCAGTCAGTCCCGGATGCACGCCATGCTGCAGCAGAGGTGTGAACCACGTGGCTTGGAAGGTGGAGGACCCTCCCACCACGGGCCCAAGGAGGGTGCTCCACAGACAGGTCCGGTGCCTCGGTTGGGAATCGCTTTCCCTCCCTCGGTGGGGAGCAGGCCCCGGGTGGGATGGGAGCGCTGAGGCATTCTCTCCACTAAAGCTTTGGAGGCCACAAGATTAGCCATTTAGTCTCCTGAGGAGAGGTAAATTGTCTCCCACGCACGGAGGCCCTGCTTCCCACAATGCCGCGCAAAGAGCAACTCCACTTCCCTGCGTGTGGACCGGCGGCGGCACGCGAGGTACGAGCGCGAGCCCGAGCCCGGCTTCTTGACAGCTACCCACGCGCCAGGGCGGGGCTTGAGTACGTTGTCTTCAAAGTCTGCCCCGCCCCCTACGCGCTACGATTGGCTCCGGCTGGTGCAGCGTGGCTCTGATAGGTCTCCTGGAGGGCGTGGCTGCGTGCGCCAGCGTCCGAGCATCACCTCGGTGACCCCCAGCCGGAGAGTGTGTGCGGGCTGAGTGCGGCGGGTTTTCTTGTTGGGGTGGGCTCGGCGGGCGGCGACGCCAGCGGCCCAGGTTCCCGGGGAAGTAGAGAGGCTCCGGACACCGACCCACACGCACCGTTCGGCGGCCGGCGGAGGCGCGCGGGAGGGTGGAGGTGGTGCGTGCTTGTGTGTGTGCGCGCACACGTGTGTGTGGTGCGCGCGCGCGCTTGTGGAGCCCGGGTGCAGAGCGCGAGCCTTCGAGTCCCCGGGTGCGAATCCCCCGCAGGCTTCCACGCCCTGCCCGCATCCCGGCTCCTTCCCTCACGTCCCTCTGCGCACCCCAGCGGCCGCGTCTTCAGCCAGGGCCTGAGGATCCCGGAGCAGGGAGTGTGCAGGAGCTCGCAGACAAAGGGGGCGCAGGGGTGAGCTCGCCATGGCCTCCCGGGGTCTGGGGGGCCTGGGCGGGGGCCGCGGCGGCAGCGGCGGCAAGAAGAGCCTGAGCGCCCGCAACGCGGCGGTGGAACGGAGGAACCTGATCACGGTGTGCAGGTACGGCGCGGTCCGGGCGGCGGCGGGGAGA